TGAGATATAAAAGGGAGAAGCAAGCAGAGAGACATGGGGACCTCATACCACCAAGAAACAAGAGCCAGGAGAATAGTGCATCCTTTGGACCTGGGGTCCTTGTGCTGAGAAGCTCCTCGACCAAGTAAGATTGATGACAAGGGCCTTCCTCCAGAGCCAAGACAGAAAGCCTTCCCCTGGAGCCAGCACCCTGAATTCAGACTTGCAGCCTACTAGACTGTGAGAGAATAAACTTCTGTTTGATAAAGCCATCCACTTGTGGTATTTCTGTTATAGCAGCACTAGATGACTAAGACACTGGCCCTCCCAGAGAGTCAGTGAGCTACCTACTTTCCTTTGAAAACTTCCTTTCTGCTTAAGTTAATCAGAGTTGGGGACTGTTGCTTGCAACTAAAAACCCTCCCAGAACACACAAACTTGCTTTTACTGTATTTATTGCCTCATTAAATAATTTTCTGTTTGAGTCGCCCTCACTAAGCTGTGAGTCTCCTGAAAGCAGGAACAATTTCTTACTCACATTTTGTATCTCCAGTGGCTAGAATATAGCAGGCATTCAAATATATTTTTTGAACATTCAAAAAGTCTTTTATAAACAAACAAGAACCAACCAAACAACAGTTTAGCTTAACTAGTAAAGAATATCTGTCTTGAGCATTGTGCTCTTTTAAGATCTATCTATATGGGATCAGACTGACAACAGCAACTCAAAAGATTAGATAGGAAACTCGGGGCAGTGAGTTGATGTTCATAGGGGAGGAACAACTTAGGAAAGGAGGGTGAGAATGGCTGCACAACTTGACCAGTGTAATCAATGTCACTGAATTGTACATGTAGAAACTGAATTGGTGTGTTTTGCTGTCTATATTCTCAACAAAAATAAATTATAGAAAAAATACAATAGGATACATTTATGCCAAGAATAAAGCAATTCCTTCCTGTTGAAGAAAACAAAGTAACTCTACATTGATACACCGGCACAAACATGAAGAATAAATGTACCATCAGAACTAAATGTTCTGCATGCTAATTTCGTGTAAATGCCCTTGGAAACACCTCCTGAAGAACTTAGTTCCATTCAGGTAATAGAACGAGAATACCTGAATCACAAATGCATGCTGATTATGATATCATTTAAAAATTAGCAAATAATATTGTATAGACATTGACGTTAAATCTCTAAACTGCTGTGACTTAGATTTAGTTAGAAAGATCATATTCAATTATGAGTTTAGTTTTCCACAAAGACTAGACCCTGAACTGGTTTTAAAAAGACTTCATGCTGTTTGAAAACATCACGAGTAGAAGACTGTAAAAATGCATAAAAGAATTGGCTGTAAAAGGCACTCCATTTTCATAGTATACAAGTAACTGGTTATGCTGTAGAATTTACAAATATACAAGTAACTGGTTATGCTGTAGAATTTGACTATTACAGTATAAAAAAGCAACTATTTAGGGAAGACTTAGAAAAAAAGAATGAATGTAAGACAGTATTTATTTTAGGTAAAATTAGAAGAAAAAAATAAAATAACCTGAGGTTAGTTGGTTCTCATTGAATTAATTTATTTTTAAAAATTGAAAAAAATTAGCATTGCGCTCCTTTCTTCAAATCTAACAATCAAAGCCTTGGTCGCCATATTGCCCTGTTCCTTGCCTTCCATTGGAGCAGCACAGTCTTTGGGACATTTACTTGCTGCTCCAGACTTGCGGATCTAGAGCAAATGACATGGTCTGACTGAGTTGGCCAAACCTCTGGGTCTGCTGTGGTCATTCACCTGCCTGCATGCAATAGATGCTTTTTGAGTGAACACACTGCTGCTACCCTAAGCAGAGCACGCTCTCCCTCCCACCACCATACCATCAAAACCTACCTCTGGGAAATCACTAAGTCTGCTTCTTTCTCCTTGGGTGTCATCTCTTGAGAGGAGTTAAGGCATGTTGTTGTTGTGTGCCATCAAGTCAATTCTGACTCATAGCTCTACAGGGTAGAGCTGCCCCATGGGTTTCACTTGCAGAACCTTAGGCCTGAGGACCAAGAAACCTCGAAAATTGTATACTTCATCCCTTGTCCTCTCTCTAGTTACCACACAGCCCGCCTACAGGATTTTAAACTCACCTATTACACAACGTATTGATGACGTTTTTACTGTTACACTTGTGCTAAGTACAGCTGTAATCTTTACCGGAGCAGATCGCCAGGTCTTTTCTCCCACAGAGCAGCTGATGGGTTCAAACCACTGACCTTTCATTTAGCAGCCGAGTGCTTAACCACTGTGCAACCAGGAGTTAAGGCATAGATTTCCCTATTTAGTTTACAAAATCTGTAATTTGTTAAGATCCCTGGGTAGCGCAAACAGTTTGGCGGTTCGCACACACACACTGGCACCACAGAAGAAACAGGACTGGCAATCTGCTTCCGTAAACGTTACAGCCAAGAAAACCCTATGAAACAGTCCTACTCTGTAACAGATGAGGTCTCTCCAAAGTCACAAACCAACAACAAAATCTGCAATTTTGTTGTGGAAAACTCCCTTCTTGATACATGCAAAATACCAACACTGATCTTCACTAACTGAACTTCCAGTAGGCTGGGTAAAATAAACCAGAGACACAACCATCGCTGCTCTGCAGCACTTGGCACTTCCGCTTCTGCCACACTTAGCACAAGTGAAACAGTAAAAACGTCATCAATACGTTGTGTAATAGGTGAGTTTAAAATCCTGTAGGCGGGCTGTGTGGTGACTAGAGAAAGGGATGAAGTGTACAAATATCGAGGTTTTCAAGTGAAACACAATTCAGAGCACAACTGTGTTTTTCAGGGTCCATTTGTGTTCCTGACCCTGAAATAAAACTCTACATGAACAGAGAGCCCCAGCTTCGCAATTAAGATGGGGCAACACAAAGTTCAGGTCTTATTAAAACCATGGAATTCTAGAATTTGTAGTTCACAAAAGTTTGCGGATATCATCTCCTTGGAGTCTCACAATAATCTTGAGCAAAAGGGAGACCAGAAATCTACCTTTCACAGATGAGGATACGGATTCCTACCATCACTCCCTGTCCTCCTCGTACTTCTGGATAAAAGCACAAGTGAAGAGTTACTTCCAGACAAGCCCGTTGTTGGGGGTGGGGGGATTATGAAAGGAAGTAAGTAGGCAAACTGGATTTGGAAATTTTCCTCAATAACATTTCCTGTCATGTCTGAAACATTGGACATCCTCTCCTTCCTTGGTTTTTTAACTCCTACTTTTCTGACAACAGATAAGTCTCATTTTAAAAATTGCCTAGACAGGTACTTCTAAATTTTAATGTGCACACAAGTCACCTGGGGATCTTGTTAAACTACAGACTCAGTAGTTCTGGGGTGGGGCCCAGGATTCTGCATTTCCAGCAAACACCCAGGAGATGGTGATGCCGCTGAAGCACACTTTATGGAGCAAGAGCCTAAAAGACACCTAGCGTTCAAACCTGGTTCCCACTCCCAATTAAATCACTTTTGCTAGTGATTCCTCATTTGTCTCCTTTTCCCATTCTCAAGCAATCTCATGCTCCAAATCAGGTAAGTTTATCCCTCTCCATCTGCTCCCTATAATTACATTTCCTTATCTTTGGTCTGTTCTCCCTCCAAATGATCCTGCTGCCAGATTCCCAAATCAAACTCATGGCCATCAAGTTGATTCTGACTAATAGAGACCCTATAGGACAGAATTGCCGCGCAGTGTTTCCAAGGCTGTTATCATTACGGAAGCAAACTGCCACATCTCTCCCACGGAGCAGCTGGTGGGTTTCAACTGCTGACCTTTCAGTTAGTAGCTGATGAGTGCTTTAACCACTGCACCACCACGTAACCCGCTTAAGAACCAGCTTTTTACTACCTGACTTATCTAAATTCCTTGATTTGGGTTTCAAGGCTTCCCAATTTACTATTCACTATGTGTCTGGTGGCATAGTGGTTAAGAGTTCGGCTGTTAACGAAAAGGTCAGCAGTTTGAATCCACCAGGCGCTCCTTGGAAACCCCATAGGGCAGTTCTACTCTATCCTATAGGGTCGCTGTGAGTTGGAATTGACTTGACGGCAATGGGTTTGATTTTGTGTGTGTCAGGAAATGTTCTAGAGCTCTCCATGTATGAACTCATGGAGAATCTTTACAACTGTATGAGGTGGGCAGTACTATTATCCCTACTTTGGATAAGCAAAGTGAAGTATAGGCTAGGTAAGCTGACAAGGTCACAAAGCTGTTAAATGAAGCCAGACAATCTGACTCCAGAATACAGTGACATAAAGATTATTAGCTACAGAGAGCCCACAGGCCTAGGGTTATATGTAGGACCTGTCAAAACCTTGATGTCTTACTTGGGCAAGTCCCAATCTCTCAGGACTCCATTTTTCTGGTCTATAAAATTAAAGAGCTAGATCAGATGATCTATGTTTCTACCTACTCTACTACATGTTCTCTATCCCTTAACAATGTCGGGCCAATTGCTCCACTGTCAACCACAGTGACCTGTTTCTGCCACTTCTCCCTGTCCCACCCCCAACTCTGTCCGTGATGCTATCTGTGTAACCTTGGGCAAGTTATTTACTTCTTAGTGCATCAGCTTCGACATCTGTAAAGTCAGGAAACTACTTACCTCTTGGGGATTCTAGATTAGATTCCACCTCTTCTGTTCTGCTAGGATTTTACACTGCAAAAGGGCTTGAAATAAAAAGGCAACTGGCTGCAGCATGGGCATCTTTTGAGTGTACAGTAATTCTGTTGAAATTACATTTGACAAATTTTGGCCTGTATTTCTTCAATCAGCCTTGCCCATGCCCCTGAAACATGGGTACCGTGGAATCGTCAAGGCACCCTCAGGAACCCAAGAAAAATGTTCAGGCTAAACATGGAGGGAAATGAAGAAAACATAATCATGGCCATTAGAAATGCTTTTATTTATAAAATAACTACTTAAATATAAACATCTCTAAATATACACACTATTCACAAGAGACTCTGGAGTTCCTGCCTTCTGCCCACAACTAGCAGACACCCGGGATGAGGAGCTTGTAGGTGTCTCCCCGATTCATCAGGATTTTAAGGCTGAATGTGCACCTGGACGGGCAGGGGCTGTATGGCTGCTCTGAATTTCCTTTCTTAAAAGACAAATTCATAGTCTCCTATCCCAAGGTAGGCTTCATATCTGGGGAAGACCTTAAGAATAAGAATGTTGCCAAAACAGAACTTTTAGGAGCTGATTCTCATGTGAGGATGAGCAAACATCTTCCTGAGAGCGGTGGGAGGTACTATCAGGCACTTTAGACTGTTTGGCTTAGACTGTCGTGTCTGAAGCAGGGAGCCAATGATGAAATACAAAATGTTTCCAAGTCTAAGATAAGCTACTTCTGGGACCACTTATTCTAATTCAAATAAGACACGTGTTATATTTTATGCATCTGTGGATATAAGCAAATGGTAGTGTTGTGCTTGGATAAACAGAAAGGCATCGATGTTCTACCTTGGTGGACTGGTTTCAGCTCATTGCAGAAATAATACTTTCAATGGAATGGTTGGAACTCTGATCCTGCTCTTTCAGGAAAATGCATCAGTTACTGAGTCAGAGGGGGAGAAAGGGTCATGAGATATTATCATACAAAAACTGTATAATGTAGGGACAACTGTCAGAAGGATAACCACGTACCCAGTAAGGGAAGGGCACTTTTCAGATGGAGGAAAATAAAGACCCTAAACACTTCTTGAAAGGAGAAAGAATGCAGCTGAGTTTTACATAACCAATCTGGGAATGCAGTGAAACAAATAAGAAAAAGCTTACAGATGTTAGTATTTTAGGGACTTTTAGAAATTAGGGGTAGCTGTGTGTGTGTGTATGAATGTGTGTTGGACACCAGAGGTGTCCTGGAAGCTTGAAAACACTAGGTTTGGTACAGTCCCAACAAACTCCTAGCCGTATGCAGCAGCTCAACCTACCAAGCCTCAAAGGCTACCACAAAGCCCCTAGAGCCATAAATCTTTTCATCTAAGTTGGTTTCTGGTCAGTTGACTGTGGAGCATGGGGCCACCCCAACCTCAGTATGGCACAACAACAAATGCCAACATCTGCTAATGCTACAGCAGAGCTTCCAGCATACATAGGATACTGGTCTTTTGACTGGGAATTTCTGGTTTCCATAGGCTGACTCCGGGACTTGCCTCTCTTCTCATGGTCACTGAATCATCTGCAAGACCTAGGGTCCATTTCAAATTCTAGAAATTCTAGTGGGCATCAAGGTTTACAACCCAATTGAGAAGAACAAGACTTATCTTGTGCTCCACCAGGCCATGGTATTAAGCAATGCAGAAAGGGCCTATGTCCCCCAGCAGATGGGTGCCCTCTCCTCAGTGGACACCAGAAACCTTCAGCAGACTGAAAGCAAAGGCAGCAAGGTTGGGTGGGAGGCAGACAGGTTCAGGTATACTCAGTTTTGCGGATATAATTGGAGGGAACATAGCCCTTCTTCCCGTTGACTTCAGCTAACCACCACTCTGTATTTCCTGTAACGTCTTTAAACTCGAGGATCTTGAGTCTCTGATTGGCTGATACACTCAGCTCATTTGGGTTTCGTGCCTTAAAGGTATAGACAGCAAAATAGACCTGTGTGAGGGAGAGAAAGCAAGTTAGAAAATGGGAACCTCCTTGAAGCAATGCTGTTCTAAAGAACTTTCTGTAGTGATGAAGATGTTCTATACCTACACCGTCCAACACGGCAGCCCCTAGCCATACGTGGCTATTGAGCACTTGAAATGTGGCTAGTGAGACTGAGGAACTGAATTTTTAATTTTAATTATCTTAAACGTAAGTAGCCACATGACTAGTGGCTGCCTTTATTGGACAGGGTAGAGTTGGAGAACCCAAAATTCACAACTTTTCACTCTTTCAGACATGCCTTAAAGAAGAAACCGTCAGTCACTCTGGCAGGTAGGTGAGCTATGAGGATATCATTTTATACCCCAAACACAAAGAAACTCTGGGTAGCGGGGACCAAACCCATTGCCATCGAGTTGATTCTGACTCACAGCGACCCTACAGGAGAGTAGAACTGCCCTACAGGGTTCCCAAGGCTGTATATCTTTACAGAAGCAGACTGCCACATCTTTCTCCCATGTAGCAGCTGATGGTTCAAACTGTCAACCTTTAGGTTAGCAGCCAAGCAATTTAACCACTGCACCACCAGGGCAAGAGAGCAAGAAAGAAAGATCTCCAGGTGTCAAGAAAAGATACAATGCAAAGCGAGGGTGGTGACTGGTGATCAGGAGGCCCACAGGGTAAAAGGGCTGGGGTTTTAGGACCTGATCAAGGACAGGAGTTGATCAGGCTAGAAATGAGCTCCCTGCACAAAGACAGAATGTAAGAAAGGGCCATTTTTCCCTCAATGTAATGGTAGGTCTAGAAGTGGGATGTCTGTCCTGGGCCACAGTAACAGAATCACTAGAGAAGCCGGCATGTATGGTGCTCATCTGCAGGACTGAGGAATGTGGCATGGAAAGTATGAGCTGAGAAACTACTATAAAAACTGGTCTTATGAAACTTAGACCTTGGCAGAGGCAAATACCTCCATAAACTGGGACATGACATGGTCCAGGGTCTTCCTGCTGCCCAAGATGAGCTCACAGACAATTCTTATAAAGCACACAAGGAAACTCACGGTTGTAGAGTTAGCAAATGCAACACATGGGTGAATTCACAGCTGGGCAACTCCATATAATAGAGCAATCTGCTTTGTCAGTGGCTTGAAAATACGTACATATAAAATGTTCACGATATAAAGGCTATATTTAAATCCAGAAGATAAAAACAGGCCATTACAAACAGAACAGGAAAAATGGAAACAGAAGCAAACGTAAATTCCAGAAATAAAAATACACTTGTTTGAGTAAAAAAACTAAACACATGGGTTAAACAGCAGACTTTACACAAATACAGAACTAGTGAACTGGTAAAGTAGAAAACATTTCCATGATAACACCTTTTAGGACCCCATGACATAGGAGAAGCGGTATAGGAATAGCCAGTGAAGTGTTAGCCACAGAAGTGCTCAGAAGGGTGCATCTGCTACCTCTTACAACAGTGAGTTTCCTTGTGAGCTTTATAAGATTTGTCTGTGAGCTCATCCCCAGATGACCTCCCAGGCCCTGGGCCAGCCTGATACACCTACTCCTGGAAGAGCACTGTGCCCACAACATGCTCTCTGCCACCTGTCCCACCATGGCAAACCAGGGAGCACTTACTTGGTTGCCTTCCGCCTCACTGTTTTCTGGTTCTTTGTTTTTGTCCTCCACAGGCTGGACTGTTCTTGCACATTCTTTTACGAGGTCTTTACTTTGCCCATTTCGCCCTGGTATGGAGTAACCAGCCATTTCTGGATGCCTGGAGCGTCGGTAGCTCCTCAGGGTGGTAGTGGGTTGGGCAGTGTCTCTGGCTGCATCTATAGAGTCCCATGGCCTAGGCTGGGGGGTAGAGTCTGTGTCTGAAAGGCATCTGGAAGAGCTACTCTCTGAATTACCCAAGTTTAAAGATGCACTGAGATTTCTTTGGTCAATTTCCTTCAATGACGATGCATCCTGTGACTGTCTGTGGCAAGGCCCTGATGAAAAGGACACAGCCATGTTGCTGGGGCTGAAGGTCAAGGTGCTGTTGCTGTTCTGCCGTTGGAAACCGGGAGAGGAGCTGCTGTGCTCTGACTCGGTGGAGGAGTGGCTGCCGACAGAGACATCTGAGTGGCTGCGACGAGGATTGTAGGGTTTCAGGAAGGAGCTATACACAAAGCCTTTGGTGACTGTGAGAAGGAAATACAAGCATTAAGAGCTTTTAGTAAAAGAGGAGAGAAGGATCAATAATGAGACCCAAAATAAAATGCCTAGTGACAAAACATGTAAACACTCAATCTCAGGATACAATGTGGGTGGGCAGAGACTAAAAGCTGTGGCTACCTGCCAGCTCATTCTTGTCACAACCTCATAACAGATGATGGTAAGGAGGACAGTAATAAAAACCACCACATGTAGGAGAATGGGTACATGGAGAACACTCAGAAGGGTATCTAGATCACAGAAACAAAGGCTAAGGGGAAGACTTACCAAAGTATGTGTTCAAGATACCAAGTGTGGTAAAGAAGGACTTGGTATCTTGAGAGAGCCCCTCACACATGCCCCCCTGCCCTCTTTCCCACCCTTAACACTTGAATCTCCACCTCTGGTTTAGGGATGTTGAGGAAATACCGTGACAACATTCTATAGTAGGAAGTGTCTGTATTAAGTCAGAATATGTACATAACACACATACAGCATACATTTATTTTTAATAACCGGCCTAAGATGATGAAAGAGAGGGCCAAAACCTGCAGGGCCAAATGTGCTTTGAAATTCAGGGTTTTTTTTTATTTTGGAAAGGTGATCAAGTTTGTATATTATATATTTCAAAACACCTCCAACAGGGTCAAATCTATTAATGTTCTGTAGCAAAATCTGTAACTATTTCCACCAAAAGGAATAAGTAAAGATTATAAATAGCCTCCCCTCACTTTGTTCAGGTTTAACCACCAACCGAGTCCAGATCCGGTTGGGTTTTGTCAAATGAGTTCTTAAAAAATAAATAAATAAAACTTTGTTTTTCAGAGCTTTGTGGATTTTGGATTTGTGGGAGAAGGATTATGGATCAGTCTTATTCTTTGTCCTAGTCTTTAAAATCCATACACTCCTCTCCTCCCCCTGCAAAAAAAGCTGTGAGCTGTTTTTAAGGTAAATCCCTAAATAACCACAGGGAAAAAAACTCAACAAAACAAACAGAAACTGAACTTTAGTTCAGGTTTCCAATTCACACATAAGACAAGGAATATTATATAAATTGGAAGAGGGCAGCTTATTTTGCAGTTTAGTCAGAAAAGGTTAAGAGGGAACAGGATTTCATCAGGCAGTATCTATTGTCTGTGAGTTGTAAGACATGGCAAGATCTTGTAAGACAAGTAATGGAGTCTCCTCTAGAATTTGCAAAACCCAAACCAGGTTTTGTTTCAGTAATGATCTGGGTATAACACTCCCTAGAGATGGACAGAATTTTTAAGTTATTTTTCCCTTTCATCAAAGACTCTCATGTTCTTTTCTGGCCTACACGGGATTCAGGTACAGCTCAAATCACTTTTTCCTCATGTAGAGTTCCATTAATCAGAAATCTAAAATTCTTACCTCCATTGTCAATCAGCCAGCGGTTCTGACTGCCCATGGGGTCTTTTTTTTTAATCACACCTACAAGGTCACCTTCCAAAAGTGAGACATCCAGGTCTTGGGCACCATTGAAGTTCCGCTCTGCTTGGAAGAGTTTTTCAGGGGGATACCTTGCCAGAAGGAAAGCCCGGAGTTCTTCTGACTGCAGCATGTAACTTGGCTGAAAAGCAACACAAGAGATACCATTAACAAAGCACCCTTCTTGGTCATTCTCCCAGCAGCCATATTTAGTCCCAAAACACAGTAAGGGCCTCAGAAATGAGGGTGATGACAATCATCCACTCGATACTACCATTAGATATTTCTCTGATTGAGTCAATCCATGTGACGAGGTAAAAATCATTATCTCTTAGGTAATGTTTTGGTGCCTTCATAGCTATTAAGAACATTTAGCATATATTTAGTTTGACATCTGTTATGTTGTGACAAAAAAATGTAACTTAAGTGCCACCTAGAGAATCAAAATACCGAAGTAATATTACTAGGTCTTCTTATATTTTGCTATAAACTCTAAACACCTGAGACTCTCCCTATCTCTGACTTCCCCATCTATAAAAACAAATATTCATAAAAATAACAAATTTGATTCTCCCTTTTAAGGTAATATAAATCAATATCTATGGGATTATATGGGACAAAAATATTGCATGCAAAGACAAGTTAGCATGATCTTTTAAATTATGTTTTACCCTACTTTTTAAAAATATGGAGGAATTGAATTCAACAAGAATATAACTCCAGGTAAAAAAGCAGTGAGTTGTTAACTGTTTGGTGGTATAATGATCAAAAATAAGTAGGCTTGGCAGAATTAATATACCATCAATAATTTACTAAGTCCTTTCACTGTATCAGAGTAAGATCCAAGAATGCTTCTCAGAGAGTAGCTTGAAGTACATATTAAGTGTGAGAAGAGTACAGGCAGAGCCACATCAAGTACCAGTAGGCACATCGGTGATGCTCAGTAACATGAATGAATGAGCCCACCAATGATGGATGAGAATTCAATAACCTTCATTCTCCATTTATTACAAAATATTTACCTCCTCCTAAAGTGTCAATCTGTATGGGCAGAGGTGGGTCCATCGGTATTAATAATAATGATGATTATGATGATGACAACCACTTACTTTATATGGCACTTACTATGTGCCAGGCAATTTCTAAGAGCTTTACATGTATTAACTCATTCAATCTTTATAATAATCCTATGATACAGATACAGTTATTATCCCCATTTTACAGATGAGAAAACCAAGGCATAGAAAAGTTAAGTGACTTGCTCAAGGATACATAGCGAATAAGTGTCAGTCTGGAATCTGAACGCAGGCAGGCTAGCTTCAGAGTTAGCCACTAGGCCATGCTACCCTTCTTTAGGAGTTCCATGCTCACCAGGCCCAGAAGTGGCTTTCGAACAGACTGGCGTTCCATGGTTTTCCTCTCAAATGGCCTCTTGGTAGCTGGGAGAGACTCTGGGAAGAAGGTGAACACCTGGAGCTGCTGCAGAACTCTGCTATGCTCTTCATGGAAGATGGCAATAAGGTTTCCCTCTCTGCCGGCAACTTTAAGTAACTAGAGTTCATGGGAAAAGGAGAGATAGAGGAAAGAAGAGAACATGGATGAAAGATCTTAGGACTGACAAAGTCTCATCAAAACCAACTGGAAGCTAAAGTTCAGCAGCAGTTTGCTCCGTGTAAGCTACCAACATTAAGGCCTGAGTTGCAGCCTGATCAAGAGACAAAGCTCTCTGACAGACAATTGAAAGACACAGGTTTCATGGCACCATCAAGGGATCAAGAATTCCAATTCTTGACGGACTTCACCTATGCCAGATTTGATATATTTAGTTTGTATAGGTACCTGGGGTGGCGCAAAAGGTTAAGCACTCAGCTGTTAACTGAAAGGCTGGCAGTTTGAGTCCACCCAAAGGTGCCTCGAAAGAAAGGTCTGATAATCCACTTCTGAAAAATTGCCCATTGAAAATCCCATGGAAGGCAGTTCTACTCTGCCACACATAGGGTCGCCATGAGTTGGAATCGACTCAGTGGTAACTGGTTAGCTTGAATAAGTTCCTCAAACTACTACTGTGCATTCCCATACAAATGCCAGGAGAGCTTCCGAGACTTTTCCTCAGGAGGAGTACAGAACTCACTGAAAGCAGAGGCTGTAACTGCTCCAGAGCCTGGTGCACAAAGTCACCGTGGGCTTCAGCATAGCCGTGGACGCAGTTGGTGAAGAGGCCCTGGGCGTACTGGTGGAACTTGGGCAGCTCGTCCAGCAGCTGGGCATTCAGGGCCTCATAGTTGTTCCGGGCAGACTGCAACTCCTCCAGAGTCTTCTTGTCCTTCAGCTTCTCTGCCCGTTCAGTACAGTTATAGAAGTCCAGGAGCTTGTCAAAGCGTTTCTGCACTAGCTTGTGGGGCCCTGCAAACATGCTCAGTAGCTGATTTAAGGGAGAGATGACAAGCCGCTCTGTCCTCTCTTTCTGTAGGGAAGAGAAAGGCATATGGCTCAGCTAGATTCTCTCAGTATCCCATATTTGTTATTCTCCAAAATACTCCTAAGGCTGACTCTGTCATGTCCTATACCATCTCCCTTGCCCCTGGTGCACAAGCTAAATTCACGTAGATCCACAGCAGAGTTTTATATCTAATACTGAAGACTATATTCACATAATCTACAAAGCTTCTCAATTTACAGCTTTTCAACAATTGTCACAGAGTTTGCATAATATGCTAATCCCACCATAGCTCCTTTAGCTGACAACAAATGCTAAATGACACACATTAAAATGTTAGCATTCCGGGCTAGATGTGACAAATAGTCAACCTCGTGTCATTTATCATGTGCATGTCTATACAGCTTGAATTTAACTTATGATTTAGCTGTTACATAAATCTGGGGTAGAGTAACTTGCACACAGTCATAATACTTTTTCTAATTATAACTGCTGGGTAATATCAGTTTTCACCTTTAAAAGGAGTTTTCTCTTTAATGCTTTCTAGAGGGACAGATACTGTGGGCAGGGTGTGGAACACTTAAAAAGCATTAATAGGTACTTTGTAAGTTATTTTTAATAACATGCTACTGTTGGTACACCTGTGGGTTCCCCAAGCATGCCTATCTTCTTCAGCCTCAAGCCATCCAGAAGTCTCGAAGAAATTATTTTTCTTTCTACTTGGGATTAAACCATGTTATTATCCCACATAAGGAGCCCTGGTGGCGCAATCGTTAAGCACTTGGCTGCTAACCAAATAGTTGGCTGTTCAAACCCACCCACCAGTTCCACGGGAGGAAGACCTTGTAATCTGCTTCCGTAAATATTATAGCCTAGAAAACCTTATGGGGCAGTTCTACTCTGTCACATGGGGTTGCGATGAGTCAGAATCAACTTGACAGCACCCAACAACTATCCCACATACATCTATTTAGGATTTCCCAAGCAATTTGGCCTTTAGTATTTTCTTTATAGTTTGTACCATTTCAAAGATGTCTTTGATAACCTTACTCTTTTAACCTCTTAACTATTCCTAAATATTCCTTTTTAGGTTATTACACCTATAGATCTTTTCTTTGGATCAGTTATCAACAGTGATGCCAGATTAAATTTTCTAGTTTTCATCTGATTGTTGAAACTAAGTTATCACCAGCTACAAAAATACCTTCTGAATAATATGTACACAAGTCCTTCCTGTCTCTTCAACTAATTTAAAGTCATATCCTTAATCAGGGCTTTGAGCTGCTTCTGCCCAGTTCAGTTACGGCAGACAAAGCAAAACCTGAAATGGATCCAAATTTTTAAAAAGAGGGTGAAGTGGACTGATAACCAGAATGGGAAAAATTACTGGTCGAAGCCTTGCTAGAAACATAATCTCCCTCTCAGAAAACAAGGGCAGTGTGTGCACTGCATAGCGACCAAATCTCGTGACCAGGAGAGTCAGAAAACAGTGGGGCCCCACTCAGAGATGGCGGCCAACCGTGCCACTTTGAATGTGTGTCCCTCTCCAAAGTCCTGTCAGTAATCCAATCTATTGCATCAGGCTCCTGAAAGTTAACTAGGCCTCTTCTGAAGTCTCCCATTCCAGGGCTTCAACCCGTAATTTTTCCTGTACCAGGTATCAGCTGGTCCGCTTCACCCAAATTTTAAAAATTTGGGTCTGTGCCGATTTTGCTTTGTCGGTCATGACTGAGCCCTGTTAACACCCTGATATGAATACAGCTAAAGGACAGCTAGTACTCCTGATGCATGGAGCACTGTCTGTGTGGAATTAACCTTTTCATAAGCTGGATGTTAACGAAGGAGCCCTGGTGGCGCAGTAGTTAGGCGCTTGGCTAACTGAAAGGTTGGCGGTTTGAACCTACCACCCCGCTCTGCAGGAAAAGGATGTGGCAGTCTCCTACGTTAAAAATTACAGCCTTGGAAACTCTATAGGGCAGTCCTACTCTGTACTATAGGGTCGCTATGAGTCAGAATCAACCCGACGGCAATGGGTTTTTGGTCTGGATATTAAAGAGAACCCCAGAAGGAAGCCCAAACTATGGAGAGTAGGTTGAAGAAATTGTCCCTTACAAAACTCATGAAGAGCTGATCACTGATGTAGCGATGCACCTTCTCAAACTGCTCCAGCTCTCTGTTTCCCTTCTCCATGCACACATCCCACATGCTCATGGCGGCCACCACTTTCACACATGCCGATTCCTGGAGCCAGGTGGAGACAAACACAAGTAAGATCAGATAGAACATTCTAGGCTTCATCATTCATTCTATAGCAGTCTGGGACAAAGGGTTTCATAATTAAAAATTTTTACTAATATTTTAGCTTTGAAAAGAACATGTCTCATAAGCTATGATTTATGTGGCACAGAGAAAAGTCTAAGACTTTTTCAGAAAAACTGGTGAGGACTTTTATCATCTGTCTTTAACATTTCCTTATGCCCCTAATTGGAGGGTTTATTTCTTTTTTTAAATAATTTATTTTTTGTTGTTGAAAATATACACAGCAGAACATGTATCAGTTCAACAATTTCTACATGTAGAATTCATTGACACTGATTACATTCTTCAAGCTGTGCAACCATTCTCACCCTCCTTTTCCATATTGTTACTCCCCATTAACATAAACTCACTGCCCCCTAAGCTTCCTACGAAACCTTTCGAGTTGCTGATGTCAATTTGATCCCATATCATTCTTTAAAAGAGCACAATGCTCAAGGTAGACATTCTTTACTAATTAAGTTAAACTACAGGTAGTCCCCAGCTTATCATGGGGTTCCGTTCTGATGACTCCAAAGTCAGTCAGTTCTGATGTAAGTCAAATACTTCATTTTTCTTTTGTTTTAATTATTATTGCCTTGATTATCAGTATCTTTATAACTCATAACACTGAACATCTTCGAATGACAGCATCAGCAAATTATACGTTGCAACACTGTATGTAGTAAATATTACTAATGTTAAGATGTAAAAAAAAAAATCAGAGACAGTTTTAAGCGTGGATCGTTGTAACTTGAATACGTCATAAGCAGGGGACTACTTGTACTGTTTAAGGAGCCCTGGTGGCACAATGGTTAAGTGCTCAGCTGCTAACCAAAAGGTTGGAAATTCAAATCCACCAGTGGCTCTGTGGGAGAAAAGATCTGGCAATCTGCTCGTGTAAAGATTTCAGCCTAGAAAACCCTATGAGGCAGTTCTACTTTGTCATATAGGGTCACTGTGAGTCAGAATCTCCTCGATGGTACAGAACAACAATGTTGTTTGGTTTAAAGAAGACTTCAGGGGATATTTTTGGTTTAAGGTTTAAAGATTATCCCAGGGCAAGTTTCAGGGGTTCATCCAGCCTTAGTGGCTCCATAAATTCTGGATTCCATAAAAATTGACAATCTGTTCCAAATTTCCCTCCTTTTTGATCAGGATTCATCTATAGGCTCTTTGATCAAAATGTTCAATAGCAGCCAGGCACCGTCCAGTTCTGGCAATTGTTCATGGAGGCAATTAACCATACATTCCATTTCCCTAGTTGGAGTGTTTCTTAATTCACCAAAAAGTAAACTATCAAATTAGAACCAAGACGATTCCTCTAGGATTATGATGAGTGAATTAACTGTTCTTCAAGTCTTGACTCATATTGTTGCCTTCTCAATGGCATTTGCCCAGTCACCTACCAATACTTACAATCCTACTTCCCCTGCTCTGACTTTGACACTCCTGATTCCTCTTGCCCTGCTCTGCTTTTTGCTTTCTTTGTCAGAGCAAAATATACCTTCTATACAGTATAATTTACTAATGTTTGTCTATTATTTCTCTCTCTTTCCTACCCACCCCCCAAACCTTCATTAAAATGTAAGCTCTTTGAACAGAGAGGTTTATCTGCTTTGTTCGCTGACTCGATTATCATTTGCTGAATGAATAATAAACAAGTGGGTGAATGCACAGTTAACTCCTCCTGATTAATCCTGACAGCTTTTGAATCCCAGCCTGGTTTTCCTTGGCTACTTGGCACAATGTTGGACTTCTGCCTGCTTTAAGTTTAGGGAATGCCTATGTATGTTGCTATCAACCCAAATAAAACCTAAATGCAGCAAAAACTGCATTAATAATATTTTCAGAGGTAAAGCAAGTCCCTAAGCAAAAAATATCAGTACCTCGTAAATTGGTTTGATATTTCATTTTTTTGACGCTTAGACCCTTTGTCTATATGTAAAGATAGAGGAAGGTATCTGTCATGGATTGAATTATGTCCCAGAAAATATGTGTATCAATTTGGCTAGGCCATGATTCTCAGTATTGTGTGACTGTCCGCCATTTTGTCATCTGATGTGATTTTCCTACATGTTGTAAATCCTATCTCTATGATGTTGATGAGATGGGATTAGCGGCAGTTATGTTGGTGAGGCAGGACTCAATCTACAAGATTGGATTGTGTCTTGAGTCAATCTCCTTTAAGATACAAGAGAGAAGTGAGCAAACAGACATGGGGACCTCATATCACCAAGAAAGCAGTGCCAGGAGAACAACGCATCCTCTGGACCTGAGGTTCCTGCGCAGAGAAGCTCCTAGACCAAGGGAAAACTGATGACAAGGACCTTTTTCCAGAGCTGACAAAGACAGAAAGACTTCCCCTGGAGCTGGCACCCTGAATTTGGACTTCTAGCCTGCTATACTGTGAGAGAATAAATTTCTCTTTGTTAAAGCCATCTACTTGTGGTATTTCTGTTATAGCAGCACTGGGTAACTAAGACAATATCCAAGATACATTAAGTAGAAAAATTATAGAAAATATATGCATTCATTCATAGAAAAAGAGTGGATGGACATACACTATGCTTTAACAATGCGTACTGTGGAGAAAAAAGGAAGTAGGATTGGGAGAGGAGAAAAACGGAAAATTTTTCAGTTTTTTCTCTACAGAAATTTATATTGTTTGAGTATTTTGCAATGAGCATGCATTTATTATCTGTAATTTTAAATGCTTTTAAAACAAGGAGCATTAAGATAAACTTTCTATGTTTAGCTGTTATTTAGATCAAACTGTTGGTTATAAGCTTTCAAATACTTTTCTCCTGTCCCCAAAGAGTAAGCTACCTACTTCAATTTATCCAGTGGGTAACTCCTTCCAAACTAGTGCTGTCAGAGGGGTAAATTGAGGCATCTTTCTAATTCCTGCCAAGTGGGAGAACTAATGTGAAACAATGTCCTCTGATTTTTTAAAAAAGAAATGTTGTGAATTTCCAAAATATCAGGCCATGTCCTAATTTGCTGTTGTTGTGTGCCGTGCAGTCGATTCTGACTCATAGCGACTCTAAAGAACAGAGTAGAACTGCCCCATGGTGTTTCCAAGGAGTGGCTGGTGGATTCAAACCGCCGACCTTTTGGTTAGCAGCCTGAGCTCTTAACCACTGCATCACCAGAGCTCCATTTATGTACCAAATTGTACTGTAAAAGCCAGTTGACATCAAGATGATTCCAACTCATGGTGACCCCATGTGTGTCAGAGTAAAGCTGTGTACCGTAGGGTTTTCTATGACTGATTTTTCAGAAGTAGACTGCCAAGCCTTTCTTCCTATAAAGGTAGGTACAAATCTGGATTATGATTAACTAGGAGACATCACAATGGTGTTCTCCTGCCATCGGTATGTACAGATTTTAAGAATACACTGAGTTTCTGTGCCCTTTCATCCTTCCTAACGGCCAATGTCCTCCAGCTTACGTTCTTGCTGGCTCTCTATCAGTCAAGCTATCTTGTTTTATCATTTGTCAGGGCTTTTCATTTTAAGGAGTCCCTGGGTGGTGTGAAAAGTTAACGTACTCGGCTGTTAACTGAAAGGTTGGTGGTTTGAGTCCACCCACAGGTGCCTTGGAAGAAAGACCTAGCAATCTATTTCCCCAAAAAGCAGCCATTGAAAACCCTATGGAGCACACTTCTACTCTGACACTCGTGGGGTTGCCATGAACTGAAATTGCCTCGGCAGCAATGGATTTTTTACTGATTTTTAGATGAACAGAATCTCACTGGATGTGATTCTAACTAGAGTGATGTCTTCACTCACCCGGATATGCTGGAGGTAGAGAGACAGGTCTCGGATAAAAGATTTAATCAATCTTTCTTGCATTCGGAAATTCTTCTCTGTTTCTTCAAATACTTCATCTTTTATCTGTTCAAAAGAAACAAGTGTTGGCAGCAAGTTTGGACTCCCCCTCAATCTGTCGTATTGCCAAAATAATCTTTCTTAAAAATATCTTTCACTCAAATTTTAAACCTTCAATGGTTGCCTGAATCATACTAAACTAAATTTAAACACTTTTATGTGGCTTTGAAAAACCTCTAAAATGCATACAGGCCCTCCTTATCTTTAAGCCTCATTTCCCACTGCTCCTGGTGTAAATCCTTTACTCTAATATGGGGGCTCTCTTCTCCATTCCTGGCACATGCCATACTGCTGGCCTCAGTGCCTTCACCCGGCTGTTGCCCTCCCTTCTCACTGCACTAAACCTGCCCCCTTCATTTAAGGCTTGGCTTAAATCTCATGCCAACATGAGGCTCATCTCACTGAGCTCCTGCCTCACTGAGCTCCTGCCTTTAAGTATTACACCATTTAGGGAACAAACCGCAAAATTTAGCAACTGATTATTTTCTAGCTTGTATTTTCCACGAATTGTATCAGGTACACATGGTATAGCAGAATGAAGTCTGGAGACTTCCAAGTCTACTATCAGCACTATAATTTAACTGCTCTTCAACTCACTCAATCTCTTAGACATTAAGTTTCCTTATTTGTATCAACATGGTGTTGAACCAGATGGTCTCTTAACATGCCTACAATTTATATTTTGTCTGGCCAAAAAGATTATAAGCTCCTATGAGTGTCTAGTACGCAGGAATTAGTCTATGTTGGCTGATGTGGCCTCCTAGTTTGCCTCCAGACACACTAAGCAGCTCGCCAATGGAGGAATGGCGGGTTGGGTAGGTGGGTTCACATTAATAGTAGCTGCAGGGTCCTGGATCCACCAGCTAGCGAACACCAGAGGAGGTAAGAAGGGAAGTGTGCCAATATGCACCATGCAGGCTGCCCTGGGAGCCCTGAACAGCTGTGAAAGGCGTGCCAAACCTTCAAGTACAAGGATCTCACCTGAGGAGCAAAGCCAGTGAGGTGCTTCAGGTGGCTGCTAACTCGGTTAGATTTCTTGATGATGGAGTGGATGTTCAGTTTGGAAATTTTCTCCATAAGGCTATCGTCATCGCCTTTACGGTACTTGAGGACTAGGGAGTAAGTCAAGAAAGCACTTTCCTGAGCACGGACATACTACTAAGCTACACAATGAGACTGTACAACCCCAACTAGAGCGAGTCCTAAACTGCTTAACTTAAGGCAAAATATTAATACAAACAGTCATTTACGGACAAACATAATACCTAAAGAAAAGCAAAGAGAGACTGTGGCTAGCTTGGAGAAGGGTTAAAGACAAGGAGGAAAGGTTGCAGAGGTGTAAGGGGAAGAATGGAAGATTTGGAGTCAAGGAGCTCTCTGAGTTCAGTGCCTGGGTCTGTCACTTACTTAAAGTATGGTCTTATATAAGTCACTTAACTTTCCGGAGCCTCATTTTCCTCTTCAACAAACTAGAAAGTAACAATATTTACCTTATAAGACCATCTTAAATGGTTCCATATACAATTGAGATGCATATGCAATAATGTCTCACAGTAAAATGCAACACAGCAGTTATTTGATAAACTACTATGTCATACATTAGGTACAATCTGCAGAAAAGTCTAGAGATAAAACTAGAAAGGCAGCAAGGGACAGGGTGAAGCAAAAAGGCACACTTTGCTGTTGTAGAAGATGAAAATTACATTATATTAGGAGATATAAACCAAGAGAAGGGGCTAGATGGCCAGAGAGCTTCAACAGCCACAGGGAACATTACATACTAATGTAGGTGACATGGCTAAAGTAGACAATAGAGAAAATGATTTTAGATAAAGTGTGGAGAATAGTGGACAGGCAAAGAGGTTACACTACATTATAGGACCTTTGAAAATATGAACAATAAACCAGTTTAGCACAGTCACCATGCTATACTCATTAAGTGTTCAAATTAGGAGTTCAACAAGAGATTTAATGAGTGGATGGTTTGGCAACTGACTGTATAGTGTCAGAGAAGGCAGGTTATTGGTTGTCAGCAGGAATGATGAGGCCCAGAGAGATGGGTGAATTGAGGTCTTCGCAAAGAAGACAAAAAGTCCAAAGGAGAGTCAGGAATAGGAGAAGAAAATGGAACACGTGGCTAATAGGTTCCATAAACAACTGCCTCGTTTGCCATGAGACCAGAAAAATCTGGATGGTGACTGGCTACTACTACTAAACTTTTTGATAAAAGATTGTGTAGAAGAATCCTCATCAAAAGGGGAGAAATGCAGATAAGAATTTCAAGTTCTCATGGAATCCACACTATCTGCAGCCATGGAGACTGGATGAGGCCCTGAAACTACCGCCATGAGATAATCTTTAAACCTTAAACCAAAAAATATCCCCAGAAGTCTTCTTAAAAATCAAACAATAGTTTAGCTTCCACCACTCGTCTGTCAGTTTGTCTATGGTGGCTTGTGTGTTGCTGTGATTCTGGAAGCTATGCCACCTGTATTCCAAATATCAGCAGGGTTACCTATGGTGGACAGATTTCAGTGGAGCTTCCAGACTAAGACAGACTAGGAAGAAGGACTTGACGGTCTATTTCTGGAAAAACTGGCCAGTGAAAACGTTATGGATGGCAGCGGAACACTGTCTGATACAGTGCCAGAAGATGAGCCCCTCAGGTTGGGAGGCACTCAAAATATGACTGGGAAAGAGCTGCCTCTTCAAAGTAGAGTTGACCTAAATGACCTGGATGGAGTAAAGCTTTCAGGACCTTCATTTGCTGATGTGGCGTGACTCAGAATGAGAAGAAACAACTGCAAACATCCACTAATAATTGGAACAAGGAATATAAAAAGTATGAATCAAGGAAAATTGAAAGTTGCCAAAAATGAAATGGAACATGTAAAGACTGATTATCCTAGGCATTACTGATCTGAAATTGACTGGTATTGGCCATTCTGAATCAGACAATCATATGGTCTACTATGCCAAGAATGATAAATGGAAGAGCAATGGCATCTCATTCATTGTCAAAAAGAACGTTTCAAGATCTATCCTGAAATACAACACTTACAGTGATAGGATAACATCCATAAGCCTACAAGGAAGGCCAGTTAATATGAGTATTATTCGAAGTTATGCACCAACCTCTCAGGCCAAAGATGAGGAAATTGAAGATTTTTGCCAACTTCTGCAGCCTGAAATCGATCACACATGCAATCAAGATGCATTGATAATCACTGGTGATTGGAATGTGAAAGTTGGAAACAAAGAAGAATGATCTGTAGTTGGAAAATATGGCCTTGGTGATAGAAATGATGCTGGAGATCGCACGACAAAATTTTGCAAGACCAATGATTTATTCATTGCAAATACATTTTTCCAACAACATAAACAGCGACTATAAACCTGGACCTCACTGGATAGAAAACACAGGAATCAAATTGACTACCTGTATGGAAAGAGACGACGAACAGGCTCACTATCCTCAGTCGGAACAAGGCCAGAGGCCAACCGTGGAGCAGACCATCAATGGCTCATGCAAGTTCAAGCTGAAGCTGAAGAAAATTAAAATAAGTCCATGAGAGCCAAAGTATGACCCTGAGTATATCCCACCTGAATTTAGCGTTCATCTCAAGAATAGATTTGACAAATCGCACACTAATGACCAAAGATCAGACAAGTTGTGGGATGACATCAAGGACATCATATATAAAGAAAGCAAAAGGTCATTAAAAAGACAGGAAAGAAAGAAAAGACCAAAATGGATGTCAGAAGACTCCGAAACTTGCTCTTGAACGTAGAGTAGCTAAAGCAAATGGAAGAAATGATGAAGTAAAAGAGCTGAACAGATGATTTCAAACGGAAGCTCAAGAAGACAAAGTAAAGTATTATAATGAAATGTGCAAAAACCAAGCACTAGAAAACCAAAAGGGAAGAAAAGGCTAGGCATTTCTAAAGCTGAAAGAACCGAGGAAAAAATTCAAGCCTCGAGTTGTAATTCTGAAGGATTCTATGGGCAAAATATTGAATGATGCAGGAAGCACCAAAAGAAGATGGAAGAAATACAGAGTCACTGTACCAAAAAGATCTGGTCGACATTCAACCATTTTAGGAGGTAGCATACGACCAGGAACTGATGGTACTAAAGGAAGAAGTCCAAGTTACACTGAAGGCACTGGTGAAAAACAAGGCTTCAGGAACTGACAGAATACCAAGTGAGATGTTTCAACAAACAGATGCAGTGTTGAAAGCACTCACTCGTCTATGCCCAGAAATTTGCAAGATAGCTACCTGGCCAACTGGAAGAGATCCGTATTTGTGGCCATTCCAAAGCATGGTGATCAGAATGCAGAAATTAGCAAACATTATCATTAATATCACACACAAGTAAAATTTTGCTGAATATAATTCAAAAACAGTTACAGCAGTACCTCAACAGGGAACTGCCAGAAATTCAAGCTGGATTCAAAAGAGGACGTGGAACGAAGGACATCATTGCTAATGCCAGATGGACCTTGGTTGAAAGCACAGAGTACCAGAAAGATGTTTACTTTTGTTCTATTGACTATGCAAAGGATTTTGCTGTGTGGATCGTAACAGATAACACTATGAAAAATGAGAATTCCAGAACACTTAATTGTGCTCATAAGGAACTATACACAGACCAAGAGGCAGTCGTTCAAACAGAAAAAGGGGACACTGCGTGGTTTAAAATCAGAAAAGGTGTGTGTCAGGGTTGTAACCTTTCACCATATTTATTTAATCTGTACACTGAACAAATAATCCAAGAAGCTGGACTATATGAAGAAGAATGCAACATCAGGACTGGTGGAAGACTTTCAACAACCTATGATTTGCAGATGATACAACCTTGGTTTGCTGCAAGTGAAGAGAACTTGAAGCACTTACTGAATGAAGATCAAAGTCTATAGCCTTCAGTATGGATTATACTTCAACATAAAGAAAACAAAAATCCTCACAAATGGACCAGTAAGCAACATCATGATAAATGGAGAAAATACTGATATTGTCAAGGATTTCATTTTAATTGGATCCACAACCAATGCCCATGGAAGCAGCAGTCAAGAAATCAAACGACGTATTGCACTGGATAAATCTGCTGCACAAGACATCTTTAAGGTTTTAAAAAAGCAAAGATGTCACTTTGAGGACTAAGGTGCACCTGACTCAAGCCATGATATTTTCAACTGCCTCATAAACATGCAAAAGCTGGACAATGAATAAGGAAGGTCGAAGAATTGATGCCTTTGAATTATGGTGCTGGAGAAGAATACTGAATATGCCATGGACTGTCATAAGAAGAAACAAGTCTGTCTTGGAAGAAGTACAGCCAAAACGCTCCTTGAAAGTGAGGATGGCGAGGCTTCATCTCACGTACTTTGGGCATGTTATAGGAGGGACTGGTCCCTGGAGAAGCACATCATACTTGGTAAGGTAGAGGGTCACCGAAAAAGAGGAAGACTCTCAATGAGACGGACTGACACAGTGGCTGCAACACTGGGCTCAAACATAGCAATGATCGTGGGGATGGCACAGGACTGGGCAGTGTTTCGTTCTATTGTACACAGGATCTCTATGAGTTGGAATCAACTCCATGGCATCTAACAACAGTCTAGCTTAACTAGTAAAAAATGTCTGCCTTGAACATTATGCTCTCTTAAGAACTACCTATCCGGGATCAAAGTGACAACAGCAACTTGACACATAGGAACGTTAGGGGGCAGGAACTTTATGTTAATGAGGAAGAAGTACTCAGAAAGGGAAGGTGAAAATGGTTGCAAAACTTGAAGAATGTAATGAATGTCATTAAATTGAACACGTAGAAACTTGAATTTGTGCACGTTTTTGCTGTGTATATTCTAAACAACCAAAAATAAATAAATAATTTTAAAAAAGAAGACAAAAAGTCCTAACTTTAGTGAAGGCAGTAAGACATCCAGTTAGAAATGCAGAGAAAACAAATCTCCGCATGGATTGTGAAGGACTGCCTTAAATGAGTTGAGAAGGCAATTGCCCATAATGACAGAACTCTTCTAATTAACCATTCTCTAATCTCTAGGGACTCTTATTTCTAGCAACTTTATCAGATGCCTTAATTCCAATATTCCATGATTGTGCTTCTATTATTATTGTTCGTTTTTGCTTTTTTTTTCATATCACTCATAAGAAAAAAAAAATGAAGAAAAACCCATTGCCATCAAGTTAATTCCAACTCATACCGACTCTATATGACACAGTAGAACTGCCCCATAGGGTTTCCAAGGAGCAGCTGGTGGATTCGAACTGCTGACCTTTTGGTCAGCAGCCAAGCTCTTAACCACAGTACCACCAGGGCTCCTAGATTTTCATATCACATTTCCCCCAAATTCTCCTACTCTTTCCTCATCACAGCCCTATTACCTATCATCTGCCTTGTAGTGGGGTAATTAATTCTAAAAAGGAAAACATTCTCAAGGGCATACCTCCTTCTCAGCAATTATGCTTCTCTTACCCAGGTCTTTCCGACGTTTGTATTCGTTAATGTTAACGTTGATTTCCTTAACTGCGAGGACTGCACTGGTTAAAGGCACTTTGTCTGGGTGGGATTCTGGGGTGGCGTTCAGCAGCTCCATTAGCAGCAGTGGGTAACGCATTACTCTCTGCACTGGTTTGATTAGGAAGGAGCCCAGGTTAATATAATTTGTGCATCCCCTATAAGAAAAGGAAAAAAAATAAAAGAGAGACTTTAGTCAATTGTCAATAATATAGTGCCTACTGGCAGGATTTGTTTTTCTGAAATATGGTTCTTTCATCCTACTTTCCACTTTCATTCATTCAATCAATTTTTACTGGGCACATGATAAATACAAAGTAGTCTTTTAGGTGCTGGGGATTTAGCAGGGACAAAAGCGGTCCCAGCCCTGGTAGTAGGAGACAGGCAATAAACAAATATATAAAGTGTCATTTCGTGGTAAATGCTACGGAGAAACATATAGCAAGGCAGTTCTACTTCTAAGTTTCTGTCTATAAAGGAAGAAATAAAGTTAGTCTTTCAAGAGTTAGGAAAAATCCATTGAAGAAACGAGCTTGTACATCAAGTAGCAAGGGAACTTACCATTCATTGTACAGGCTCCTACAGGGCAGTGAGCATGAAAAGAAAAGAGACAGTTGATTAGAGACGCTGCTGTTGTTCATTTTTACGTTCTTCTCAGAGTATACCTATTAGCTGGCAGACAAAAAAACATATGGGATAAAAGGGAAATTATGAACGTCTATGTATAAATGGTTAATGTGCTTGGCTGCTAACCAAAAGGTTGGAGGTTTGAGGCCACCCAGAGGCACCTTGGAAGAAAGGCCTGGCAATTTACTTCTGAAAAAAAATCAGCCATTGAAAACCCTACGAACAGACTTCTACTCTGACACACTTGGGGCTGCCATGAGTTGAAGTCGACTTGATGGTAACTGGATGTTGTCTGCTGTATGGTGATATATCTAATCTACCAAAAAATGTTAGTAAGCCCCTAACTTCACTTTGATCTACTTACACATTTACTACATCCTTGTAGCCTCCCTCCCTAAGACCAGGGGAACCAAACTACCTTTCTGAGTGCCCCTTATCTGAAAATGCTAACTTAATACTTTGTATGTACAGATAAAAGTAGTTTTAATGGATAAAAGTACAGGTGTTAAGCCACGTAAGATTTCTATAATGTATTATGGGAAAAGGGCAAGTTACAGAACAGGATATGTAATATGATATCACTTATGTTTAAAATATAGAGATATAGAAAACAGCCGTAGCAATGTCATAAGAAATCTAGACATATATATAGGGTGACTTCTCACAGGCAGAACTAACGAGCTATGATGGATGTGAAGCGATCAAAGCTCCTACTTCAGATCCGCCAAAGAGTCCTGAAGGTGCTTCTGGATCTTCTCATCCTTCTCGTAGATTTCCAGCAGGGAAATGGCCTCATCATGATTCTGGCAGTAAACCTTGTACGTTCCCTCAAGCTCATCTCGGTGATCGAGAAACACAGGCCCTTTGAAATATAAACATACAGTGTTTTCAGTATTTTTTTTCCTCTTTGACTTAATTCTAAAAACCCCAAACCAAGTATCCCAAACATAAGAAATATAAACTTTAATATCAGTTAAATCCTATCACAAGAAAAAGTGATATCCAACTAATTATAAGAAATTTCCAGGTGACAGCTTCAAGTTTTACTTACTTAAAGCAAAATTCAAAACACCATGTCATTTGTGTATTTATTTATTTTTCAAGATAGGATCTGGAGCTGTACAGGACACCTGGTCCCTGCAACAGAGACTCCGCTCGTTTCAGTCAGACAGAGTTAGGCATTTGTAAGCACCGTCCTTACTGGGCATATGATCAGAACCCTGTAAGGACCCCTCCGCTCTCTAATCCCCAAGACAATCCCCACAGAGCTATGGCAATGGTGTCCAACCTTTTCTTTGTGTATCAATTAAATACACAGGACTACAAAGGACATTTATTATATTAAAATAGTATTTATATAAAAGTATTTTAAAAGCAAATTTGTGATATAACAACATATTTACTTCTTTATAAAAGTATTAAATAACAAGATAGAGCAAATGGTCTAATATCCACCCTAATTTCAAAGTATGATGAGGGGGACATAAGAAACTGACAGCATTTGCCTGCCTTCTTTTACATTATTCCTTCCTATGCTATTCCCAGGAGTCCTGGTAGTGCAGTGGTTAAATGCTCAGCTGCTAACTGAAAGGTCAGTGGTTCGAACCCACTAGCTGCTTCGCCAGGAGAAAGATGTGGTAATCTGCTTCCGTAAAGATTACAGCCTAGAATACCCTATGGAGCAGTTCTACTCTGTCCTATATAGGGTCACTATGAGTCGAAATCGATTCTACAGCAACGGGTTTGGTAATGGGTTTATGCTATTCCTGCGTAGCCTTCTTAGAACCTGCACTATCCACAATGATGATGCGCACTGCTCAATTCACTGCTCTTCAACCTCCCTGACAGTGCTGTTCTATATCAACCACAAACTAGCAGAGCTACATCTTAATTATGTCTTTCAAACTGTGTGTCACACCGATAAATGGGTCATGAGATCCATTTCGCGGGTCATGATCGACACTTTTTTGGATGAAATGGCATAGAAAATGTCAGGTAGCCCTGTTTCATGAAACTTGTTTCAATTATACTTACATATGTATGATCCTACACACATACATATACAAACGTGTGTTCTGAGTCATTATGTAAAATGTTTATTTCTGTGGGGTATGTTAAAAATAACTTAAAAACCATTTTATTAGGCCTATTATTACATATCTAGAGTCTCCTGGTCCTTTACTCTCTTCTCAACCTCTTCATCTTCTAACTCATCCAAGCCTTGAACACCTACCATTCCTTCCCTCCACACCAGATTCTGTTCTGGCTATACTAGAATCTTTCTCCAATGACAACTACATAATTCATGTTCCCTTCTCCAACATCCATCTTCCCTGACTTTCTGCTATATACTTTTTCTATTTCTATTCCTGGTATACAAAACCCTTGGAAGATCTATCATTGAAAGAAAAAAGCTAAGTGCAGAATAATTTGAATAGTATGCTACCATTTGTGTGATACAAAAATGAGGGGGCAGGACTAGGACAGAGAAAAAAATACAAATGCTGGTATAATAAACTAGCTCTGGAACGAGACATAAACTGGTAACACTGGTTGTGAAGAACTGGGTGGCTAGGGGACGGAACGGGTAGGAGATTTTTCATTAAATAGTTTGTTGTACCTTTCTAACTTTGTACCATGTGAATGTATTAAAAATAAGTTAAATTAAAAATATATTAAAAGTGAGCTAAATTCACACAATCAAACAAAACCCTGCTAGGAAAGCTTATATAATTCACGTCAATCTGCCCTTTGCTAATGGCTCAAAAAAGCTTTACTTTGCTCTCCTCTGACTTCTCAGAACCTTCCCTTATCACAATGTTCAAAACCTTGTCCTTTGTTAACTCCTCATTTAATGTACTGCCTGGCCTTCTGGATGACCAGGACTGAAGTCATCCAGCACAGTGTTCTCACCCAGCCTCACCTTCACCTCACACACTGCTTCCCCTTCTCAAACCTCCCTGACCTCTCCAGTTAGACTAGGGCAAGGACCCCGGGCTTCAGTTTCTCTTACCATTCCATGAAGTGCCCACCGAAGTGCTAGACGTATAGTTGTACTCTGCATAGTGGTTAACAGTATACACTTGGACAACAAACAGTTTGAATGCTAGTCCTATCAATTACTAGCCATGTGATCTTGGGCAAATTACTTTCCCTCTGCATCTCAGTTTCCTTATCTGTAAAATAAGATCAACAGTACCTAAACCTCATAGGGTTGTTGTAGGGAACAGCTGAAAGAGTGCCTGGTGTATAATAAACACTCAAGAAACACTATCACACTATCTGTTACCATCCCACAGGCATTTCCCTCTTCCTTTCCAAGGGCAGAACCCTGATTTGGTTTCTATGTCCACTTCTCTCCCAGGTGACTCAGGTAAGCACTGCTCAGTCTGAAGCCAACATCATGATCCTATTCCCCTTTCCAGTAATCATTTTAGATGTATGCAGGTGACCTAGTTCTAGCCAAAGAGAAATAAGGAGAAGTTTGCTGGAGGAGCCCAGGAAAAGGTCTGCTCACTCTAAAAAAGACACACAAGTCACTTTTTCCTTCTGCTGGATGTTGTCAAGTATGTAGTGGGATGGATGGAACTGTGGTAGTCATGATGCAACTATGATTCTGATAAATAGCAAAATGATAGGATGTAGTTCCAACCTACACTGCACCAGGATTGGCCTGCATGACTAATAAAATATGGCCGAAGTGATAGTGTGTCATTTGCAAGATTAGGTTATAAAAGATACTGCAGTTCCCGTCTTGCGCTTTTCTGGGTCACTTACTCTGGGAAAAGCCAGATGCCATGTCAGGAGGCCAGTCTATGGAGAAGCTGACGTGATGAGGAACTGGGACCTGCAAGTCATGGGAGTGACCTTGGAAGCAGATCCTCAAGGCCCAGATGACTGCAGCCCAGGCCACTACTTGCCTACAACCCCAGGAGACCCCAAGATGGAAGCAGCCTGCCAAGCTTCTCCCAGTTCCTGACCTACTGAACCTGAGATGAAAAATGTGTGTTGTTTTAAGCTGCTAAGTTTTGGGGTAATTTGCTACACAGCAATGGATAACTACTATAGTTTTCTTAATTCATAAAGAACTAGATGATTGTTTTTTAAACATTTTTGACAATGACTCACACAAATAAATACATTTTAAATAATGACTCAGTACACATAAATGTAGAATTGAAATAAAGTTTCAAAAAACAGTAATTACACTTATTACTTGCAGTACATTCTGGTATTTTCTATTTTATTTTATTAAAATATATATATACTGGGTGCGACCCACTAAACTGATGACCTCAAACTGCAACCACCAGAGTAGGAGATTTGTGCAGTGGTTAAGTGCTCGGCTGCCAACAGAAAGGTTGGCAGTTCAAACCCACCAGCCACTCCATGGGAGAAAGATGTGGTATGGTAGCCTGCTTCTGTAAAGATTTACAGCCTTGGAAACCCTATGGGGCAGCTCTACTCTGTCCTATGAGGCGGGATTGACTCCACGGCAACAGGTTTGGTTTTTGTGGTTTAGAACATCTAAAGCTTCTTTGACTGCTAACATCCTGTATCACCTCAAAGCAGGCTGTGAAATAAAAGGAGCAACAGACAGCCACATAACCTCTGAACGGAGTAACTAAATACTCAGTATCAGGAAAGATCTTCTTCCTCAATGATGTTTTTTGAAAAAAAGTTGCTTCTGAAACAACAGCAGGAGTTCATACCTACAGTATCGCTGACTTCCAGAGCAGCCAGTAATTGCTTTGAGACCTTAATCACCATCTGCATATTTCCAAAAAGACCCTCCAAATCAACGTTTGGGACCTGAAAAAGGGAACCAGAACATAAAGATGCATGAAGATGAAATTAATGCCATAATCACTCATAATAGAAACATCTCTTCAAGGATTGTACAAAAATTGTTCAAGGTCATCTTTACTCACTGTCTCATGCAGTCTCCAAAATAAAAATACCTAACATCATCTTTAGTATCATCCTTTGTCCTCGATCCAACTACTTTCCACTCCCCTCCCCACCACCTTAATAAACTGACTGCAGAACCAATTTGGTCTATAACTATGCTGGGTTACAAATTTCCATCCAGCACCCAAAATCTGATGGCACTGCTGACTTCCTACAGAAGAACTTGGGAGTGACTGCCCCAAGAGTACACACCCAAGGTCAAGTAACAAGCAATAACGAGACTATTAGCCTTGTCTTACAATCGCCGGCCTTTAGAAAATACCTAGCATGTGCACATGGGAGACCCTTAGTAAAGGTTTGCTGAGTAAACGAATGAGCTTACAATCAGGTGCCATTATCCCCAGACTTCATTGTTATCATGTGGTCTTCCCGGGAAAGCAACAATTCAGACTCCCTAAAACTGTTCATGAGTTTTCAGGAACCACAGAAATAGGGAGTGTCCTGGGACTAACCGCACCAAGTCTGGTAAGTTAATGGTGGACATGATCCGTGACAGGACGCTGAAGGCTTAAGATGGTGACACACATATGCTGGGGCGCCTGAATTAAAGGTAAGCAGCAGCAGTCATAGCTGTTATTTAAAATCCAATAAGCCTCTGTGCTGAAAGCTCTCGTATCCTAATGCTTCGAGGACCACCTCCTAAAGCAAAGCTAACCTTCTCATAATCCCCACCTGTGCCTGCTGTAGGGGTACCATGATGCATTCAATGCACATTTCCAGATCCCGGATGTAGTCTTTTTCCGTCTGAAGAAGTTCTTCTACCACCTTGGTTCTCTTCTCCAGCATCCTCTGCTCTGGGTTTTCAGTGGACACAGACACAGAAGGGGCCACCAGTGATGAAGACTGGGAGGAGAGGAGGGTCATTTCTAGAAGGGAAAAGAGAACTGGTCAGCAGCTCCAGGTGTGAAAGCAGGACTCTTCCATAGTCTGCATTTCTGAAAAGAGTACATTCCTTGAGGAATCAGGGGCTCATTAATATCAACCACTGGGAAAACTGATCCCACTCATCAGTTCTAAATGTGAACAGATGAAGGGCTTAGAACTTAGGGCAGAGAACTTCTCCGATCCTGTGCAATACCATTTCTAGAAATTGTCCTAAGAAGGAGTAGCTAGCTCATTTTAAGAGGACGAATCAGAGTTCACAACTTTCTTGTAAGTTCCCTCTGAAAGAAATGCTGTCCTTTATCAAGAACTGCTTTCATCTAATCAGGTATAAAACCAATTCCATGAGCTCAGCAGCAGAAATACCAAGCTGGAAATTAACATCATGGACACAGCACATTAAAAAGACTATTGTGGGTGGGGGAAGACGGAGTATATGGAAACCCTCTGTACTATCTGCATGATTTTTCTGTAAACCTAAAACTTCTCTAAAAAACAATCTATTTAAAAAAAAAAAAAAAGGACTATGGGGAACAATAAGGTGACCACTAAAGGGAAGACAAGAATTAGGTGGGAATTACCCATCTGAGATTTGGGGGATTGCAGGGCCCATCATGTGACAGCAGATTAACACTAGTGTATAACAAAATATGCAAAAATTCTTAGATTCCCCTATCAAAACATTAATGAAGACTCAAGCATGTTTTGTTACTATAAAATGTCCTAGAAGATAGATACAAATGTATTACAAGTATGAAATTTTAAAATATTTTTGATTAAAAGAACCTCTACCAAACCAGACTGCGTGATTCTAAAAATGAAAACAAATATATATCTTGTCATCAGTTTTACAATTACCTGATCTTGACATTAGCTTTAAAATTACCTGTTATTTAGATGCACATGACAAAAGAGTTGTTTATTTTTTCCCCCAAATCTAAAAAGCTCAGTTCCCAAGGTTGGTTCAAGATTCTGACTTACTGCTCTTCATAATAAAGATGAGGCAGCATTTGTTGACTTAAAATAAACAATAAATACTAATAAAAAATTGAAAGAAATTTGACAGTGGTGCAACCTCTGCTTTGTCTGAAATTCCTTAAGACTCTCTAAAAAATATAAATTTTTGTAAGTACATACACATACTAATAAGTTTGAGTATGATTACAAGAATATTTCTACCCAGATCTAAGAAGCAAAACCAGTGTTCAAACTACTTATGGAAAGCTAGACTTTCATAGCAGATTTTATTTTCCTTTTAATTTTTTAAATTGTGGTAAATATATATTTAACAAAACATCTGACACTTCAACAATCTTCACATGTACAGTTCAGTTAACATCACAGCAAATTTTATTCCAAAAATCTGCCCCACTGCCCCTTCGCTAAGATTATTTAGGAATTCCAATGTTTAAAAAATTATGTAACTCAGACCCTGGTTTCTAAAAACCACTCTCTTCTAAAAAGGAATCAGGTTCTTTGAAGAAATGGTAAATTCCAGGGCTGGAGCAGGGAAGGTACAGCTGGAAATATGTTGTACAGAAAGTGAGGAAGTTTTCAACAAAATGAGGAGAGTATGTCAAAAGGACTCAGGAGCCAGCGTGAAGGGTCTCCCACTGGCCAAATCTGGTACAATTTGAGTATCAAAATAAATAAGCATGGCAATAGATTATAATGCATTCAGTAAAATAAGAACCCGTGCCTGAAAAAGACTGGAGAAACCCCGAGAGTATGGCCCCAAGACACCCTTTTAGCTCAGTGGTGAAGTCACTTCCAAGGTTCACTGTTCAGCCGGGGACTGGACAGCCCCATAAAACAAAACGGGACTAATGAGGCACAGTAGTCCAGGGACAAGGACTAGAAGGCAGAAGGCGACAGGAAAGCTGGTGATAAGGAACCCAGGGTTGAGTAAGGACAGTGTTGACATGTAGTGGGGTTGTTAACCATTGTCATAGGGCAACATGTGTACTGTTTAATGAGAAACTATTTTGTTCTGTAAACCTTCATCTAAAGTGAGAACAGCAGCACAACTGGAGGAGTGTAGTCGATGTCACAGAAGTGTGCATGTAGAAATTTTTGAAATGGTGTATTTTGGCTATGTATATTTTCACCAAAAAGAAAAAAAAAAAAAAAAGGCCAAGAAGGGAGAGGGTTGACATGTCATGGGGTTGTTAACCAATGTCATAAAACAATATGTGTACTACTGTTTAACAAGAAACTATTTGTTCTGTAAACCTTCACCTGAAGTACAATAAAAAAAAAAGAACCCATGAGTTCACAACTTGCAAAAGCCAAAACCTGCGTAAGACGGAAACCTGTCAGAGAAGAAAAACTCAAACATTTCCCACTAATAGACAGTGATAGAAAAGTAGTAAGTCTGCACCCCGTCAAAGGCGGAAAACTTGCAAGACCTGGAAAACCCTTCGAGTTCCAGCTCTCACAGGTGTCACTGTATATAAATACATAAGTAAAGGGAGGAGAAGGTAAAAGCTCTTTCTTATATTAGAATGCCAACAAATAAAGAAGAAATGACGGAGTTAGAAAACCATCACTCGGCAACCATCAGAATAAAATATGATTCAGGCACAAATCATCAATCAATGGGGACTGATGATCATCAGGACATTTACAGAGTTCTAAATTACTTATTATAAATTATTTATTAATTACAAAAGCAAAAAATAGTAACTATGTAATGGAGAAAATGGGTAACATCTTAACCAAGTAATTAAAATTAACATTACCAATAAGGGGCAAAGCGATATCATGAGCTTCCACATGTTCTATCAGGAAACGACGCAATATCCCTTATGCATTATTCCAGTCAAAAATGCCTGATCTGAAAGGAATCTTGCGGAAACATCAGACAAACGGTCTTGGTCATCTAGTGCTGCTATAACAGAAATACCAAAAGTTGATGGCTTTAACAAAGAGACATTCTCTTACAGTCTAGAAGGCTAGAAGTTCAAATTCAGGGTGCCAGCTCTCGGGGGAAGACTTTCTCTCTCTGTCAGCTCTGGGGGAAGGTCCCTGTCATCAATCTTTCCCCGGTCTAGAAGCTTCTCAGTGCAAGGACCCCAGTCCAAAGGATGAGATGCACTCCTGGCTATTCTTGCTTGGTGGTAACGAGGTCACCCCCTCCTCTCTGCTCATCTCTTTTATATCTCAAAAGAGATTGACTCAAAATACAACCTAATCCAGTAGGCTGAGTCCTGCCTCATTAACATAACTCCCTCTTGTCTTGCCTCATTAACATCATAGAGGTTAGGATTTACAACACATAGGATAATCACATCAAATCACAAAATGGTGGACAACCACACAGTATTGGGAATCATGGCCTAGCCATGTTGATGCATATTTTTGGGGAACACAATTTAATCCATGACACAAACCCAAATCGAGGATTTGTATTCTTCAAAATGCCAATGTCATGAAAGACAAAGCCTGAGGAACAGTTCCTGATTAAAGACAGCTAAAGAGAAATGACAACCAAATGCGATGTGAGTCTGAATTGGATCCTGCTCCAGGGGAAAAAAAAAATTGCTATAAAGGACATTACTGGAACAACTGATGAAATTGCAATATAGACTGTATATTAGATAAAAGATTCCCAATTCCAATCCCATTGCTGTCAGTCAATTTCGACTCATAAAGACCCTACAGGACAGAGTAGAACTGCCCCATAGGGTTTCCAAGGAGTGCCTGGTGGATTTGAACTGCTGACCTTTTGGTTAGCAGCTGTAGCTCTTAACCACTATGCCACCAGGATTTCCGATAAAAGATTACTAAGGGACATGATATATGCAACCGACTCAATACTTCGGGGGAAAAAAACTATATATGGAGAGAGAGAGAATAAATTTGATATTATTCAAGATAAAAGTTTAAAAAGACATAATGGAAAGAATATCTCTTTCTTAACTTTTTTTCTTGGTAGAATGAATGACAAAATTTAAAGCATAACCTTCATTTCATCACGGCATTAAAATTAATTCTACATTAATTGTACATTATGTAAAATTTGTTTGATGGCCTTATTTTCAGTTTTGAAACTTCTCAGCAATAGAATCTCAGTCCCAAAAATCATTTCATAAGTGGTAAGTTGAAAACAGAAACTCATTTTTAATAATAGTACTAAAAAATGCTTTGGAAAGAGTCCATTTACTGAGTTCCTACCATGTGCCAGGTACTTTACATATTATACCCCTCAATTCATTTAATACTCACACCACAACTTTGAAGTAGGCATTATTACTCCCATTTAATAGATAAGAAAACCTAGGCTTTGGAGGCTGACCAACTTATCTGAGGTTCTGCAGTGTGTAATCTTTGTAGAAGCAGTTCTGGAATTAGAATCTAAATATATTTGAATCCAAATCCTATCCACTTAATCCTGCACCATTTTGCTTCCAGAGCTGGAAATCTCAACTAAATAAAAGGTCAGGGACTCATCTGCTTCAAATCCTAAAAATTCCCTAGAAACAATCCCCCCCCCACCCCTAAATCAAAGTTCTACGAATTACAACAGCTAAAAGCACAAAGGCGAAGCAAGCACTCAACAATCAGACACCAGGCAAGAGACTCAACTAGCTTTTTATTTATATTAAAAGAGAAGTCGAAATGGTAACAATTCTTTTAAACTATAAACATAACTGTTTTTGCAGATAGATTTGTAAACTCTTCAACAGCCTTTAAAAAACTGAAACACTTCACAGTGATTAAAAATCCCCTTGGGATGTTTTTACTAAATTCCTGGGCACCACCTCTGAGATTCTGATTCAGCAAATTTGGGTGGGACCCAGGAATTCTTAATTTTAACAAAAGCCTAGGTGTTTCAGAAGATACAGGTAACCTTCATACTGTATTTCACGAAACACAGAATTTTCAAAGATTAAGTCAAACTAAAAATATCTGGCTTGAATTACTCAAAGCTGCAATACAAAACCATCCAAACAAAACTGACTTAAGATATAAAACTGTTTTT